GCAAATTGCTGCTGAATTAAACTGCTTTAAAAGAGATTGGGAAAATTGCATTTAATGTGGGCAAAACCGCGGGGTGGAAAGCTAGTAAAATGGTTTTTTTTTTATAGGAGGGGGCAAACGAGCATGCGGCTCACCTGATGTTAAGTGACTACCGCCGCCCATGAACAACTGCAACACCAGGGGAACCAGGAGAATTGCAGATGCGTAATATCCCCGTCTAATAATCCCCGTGTAGTGGCGGGTCAGAATACTCACTACCCCATATCTTCCCGTGGGTGTCGTAAGAGGCGACAGAGGGAAACTGAGGCAGAGGATGGGCAGCAGCATCTTTCTGATAACAGCAAAATTACAATAAAAAAACTGCGGTTGCCAACCCGCTCGCCAAGCGTGACACCTGAGATTTTGAGTGAGATTGAGAGCTTCTATGGGCAGCTGTACACATCATCGTTGGAGCCACACGCAAGTGTACGCAAGTAACGATCCAAGAGCGAGTCTTATCCGACCCTATTCCGATGATATCCCGGACGTCAATCTGAGCGAGATTAGAATGGCTCTCCAGCATCTTAAAAACGACAAGGCCCCAGGCAAAGATGGAATTACAGCGGAACTTCTGAAAGCGGGTGGAAAACCGGTACTTGAAGTCCTTCAGAAGCTCTTTAATTCCGTCCTCCATGGTGGCACTACTCCGGAGGCGTGGAGCAGACCGATTTCACTTCTGAGCCGCGTCTACGTGCTGTTTTCGAAAGTCATTACGAATCATCTCGCGCGCAGACTTGACGACTTCCAGCCTTCCGAACAAGCCGGTTTCCGAAAAGGCTTTAGCACCATAGACCACATACACACCCTTCGGCAAATTGTACAGAAATCCAAGGAGTACAATTTGCCACTATGTCTGGCGTATGTGGACTATGAGAAAGCCTTAGATTCCGTCGAAATTTGGGCGGTGCTGCAGTCCCGTCAGCGGTGCCAAGTTGACTGTCGGTAAATCGAAGTGCTGAAGTATTTGTACAGTAGGGCTACGATGGCTATCCGAGTACAGAGCCAGAGTACGAAACCTATCCAATTGCAGAGAGCCGGCCATATAGCTCAAAGAACCGACAACCGATGGGGAAGAAGGGTTCTTGAGTGGCGGCCTCGTACCGGCGGACGAAGTGTAGGGCGTCCCCCCACTAGATGGAGTGACGACATGGTAAGATATGCAGGAAGTCAATGGATGCAGGTGGCTCAGGACCGTGCTTTGTGGCATTCTTTTGGGGAGGCCTATGTTCAGCAGTGGACTTGTGAAGGGCTGTAATGATGATAAATAACGAATAAATAATAATCTATACATATAATAAAAATGTAAATAGCAGATGTCTGTACATTTTATATTTTTGTAATAAAAGTGATTGAGAGGTACTAAAAATAAGTAATTAAATACATTTCTACCATTTTAGATTTTTCTGTCTGTCTGTTTGTTTGTTAACGTATCACGTATAAAGTACTAAATTATATCATAAGAATAGTTAAGGAAATTATTAAGTGTATATTCAGGTTACATTTTGTCTTTATTTCATTAAAATTGGTTAATTCCATCAAAAGTTATGACAAATATTCTGAAGTATGGGTACTAAGTATAGGTACGAATTTGTTCAATAGTGGCGTTGGATGAGTCATCAAGTACATTTTAAAATTAATATCATATTATAAATCATAATTAAATGATGTAAAATAATGTTCTATAATGATATAATTATATCTAAAACGCAGTAAACAAAAGTATTACATAAAGAACGTAATAAATATATACAAAATATATTAACCTTATTATCTAAACTAAATTAAAGTACAATAGTTACCAATTACATCGATAGATGGTGGTGTGGCATAAATGTGATACAAAAAGGCAGGTTAAAATTTATTCTTGTAGTTGAGTTTCATATTTGCTTCTAACCTTTATATTAATGACACGCTGCCCTACTGCGTGTTGACAATCTCATTTTTTTTTTTTACCGCCGAGTACTCTATGTGGTAAATCAAATTTTAAGAGCTATTAACAATTTCGTTTTTCGGCGAGGATCAAACTTTCTTTTTTGCTTACTATGCAGGCACTGATTTATAAGTTCTTTTATGTTTTTTATTGTATCAATCGTGTGAATTAATCTCTTATTTTTAGAATTGATGTTAACAGCGCCATCTCTCTTAAATCTATACATATAATAAAAATGGTAATAACACATTGAGGTAATATGTTACTACGTAACTAACATATTACCTCAATGTAATAACATGTTATGTCTGTTTCTGAATATTGTATAGTATATTAATTTGCGACTAAAATCATTATGGGGACTGTAAATCATTAAATAAGTACATTTTTATAATTTTTAGAATTGTACTATCTGACGGTCTGTCTGTTTGTTTATGGACGCATGACGTTTTGAGTAAACATCTTTTTTTTTCAATGAAATCCTTAAGAAAATCATAAAGCGTATTATCAAGTTCATTTAATCTTTGTTTTATTGAAATTGGTTAATTCTATCGAAAGTCATGATTATTATTTTGAAATGTAGGTTCGAATTTGTTTAATGGCGCCACAAAATCCCAGAAATAGTAATAAAAAGATTCGTGTGTAAAAAAAACGTTCTATTATAATATATTTCGTATCGTTCTATTATAGTACTTAAAACACAGTAAAAATATGTTTTCCTTAAGAGATTCGGCGGGAAGTCAAGCTAAGCGGGTGTTTTAATTTTTGCTGAATTTTCATTTCTTTTTATTTTGTATATTTTTTGTAAATTTCCGTGTAAATAGTTAATTAGTACATACCTATATATAGTGTAAATACAATGGGTCCAGATTCCGACGGGGGCCCGGCCCCCGCCGAGCAAGAATCAAAGAAAAGGAAATTGCATGATACTCGCAAAGGAAATGCCGTCGACTACAAAATTTTCACAAAAACAAATTACACGCGACAATTCCCAGAAAACCACAGCGTAGACTGCGTAGTCTATGTTGAATCACAAGAAAACGAAAAAATCGGTAACAAAAATCCAATAGCATTTACAAAGTTATTTACGGAAAATGTAAAAGGAATCGCTGGCGTCCACAGAGTGAACGCATATAAAGTGGGCATAACGTTCAGAAAACCAGCACCGGCCAATAACTTCCTTACCATGACACACTTTCTAGGAAAACACAAATTGAAAGCGTTCGTGCCGGCGCACCTCACTGAAATTACTGGAGTCATAAGATACGTACCTAAAGACTTAAGCAATGAAGACATATACAAAAGCATTACCTGCGATGCAGAAGTCATCTCCGTCAAGAGATTTATGCGAAAGGTAGATGGAAAGCTCACTCCGCTGGGGACCATTGCAGTGACCTTCGCTGCAACAGCGCTGCCGCAGCACGCCTACATACAGATGTTCACATACCCGGTCCACATATACATACCTCCGTTACTACAGTGCTACAAATGCCTGAAGTTTAATCACTCTGCAAAAGTCTGCCGAGGTTCTCAAAGGTGTTCTTCGTGCTCAGGACAACACTCCTACAAAGAATGCGACGTCGAAGAAATTGTGTGCATCAACTGTCATGGTGCTCACTTGGCCATCTCTAGGAACTGTCCAATGAAGCAACAAAAGATGGAAGAGAAGAAGAATAAGTATTTAAAACCAAACCGATCGTATGCCACTGTGGTGAGTATCCCAGCAATGCCCGACCCGAAAGCATTCCCAAACCTTAAACCTGTAAAGACTGTTGATACTGACATAAATAAAGTATCATATAATGCTGAGCAAATACTAAACAACAAGTTAATTATTAATGCACTAGTCAAATCATTAGTTATGCTTGGCAATGACAAGAGCAACGCTCCGATTACAAATAAAAGAATTAAAGATATATATAATGGATACATATTTGAATATAGCACAATATAACATACAGAGCTTACAGAGCAAAAGGGTCTTACTTAAAAAATTTCTTTCGGAACAACATATAGATATCTGTCTCTTAAATGAAACCTGGCTTAAAACAACTAGTACAATTCCCGATTTTTCACCCTATAATTTTATACACAAAAACTCAATAAATGAACATAACGGAGTAGGTATATTAATTAAACAAAACTTAAAATACACTATTGTAAATACAACTTTTTTCGAATCTGTGCAAAATATTTGCATTTCCGTAGACACAACTATGGGTAAGTTACATATTCTATGTGTATATTGTCCTCCCAATAGCAGCAGGTCTGCTACAAGCAAAATGAAAAAGGTGCTACTTGAAACTCCTAAGCCATGTCTTATTATGGGAGATTTTAATGCTCACCATATCCTGTTTGGATGTCAGACAAATAATAATAGAGGTAACAGTTTATATGCACTTATTGATGACTTTGACTTGTGTATTCTGAATGATGGTGACATAGCTACAACTGTCCAGTATCCTAACAGAAATCAGTCGGCAATAGATTTAGCTCTAGTTAGTTCCGCATTAGCTCCTCTTTGTGAATGGCACGTCCATGACGACCCGATGGGCAGTTACCACTACCCAACTGTGGTCGCTCTAAATGTGAAGCCTTCTGTATATGAAGTGCGTCCTGCGGAAGAAAAATACATTTATAATAAAGCAGATTAGTCTAAATATCAAGAACTATCAGAAACGAGATTTTGTAATTTAGAAATACATGGTACCGAACCTATTGATTTGTATAATAATTTTGTAAATATTTTGTATGATATTAGAGCAGAGACTGTTCTAAAGCAAACACCACAACAAACTTTAAGGGTAATGAGAAAACCTGCACCCTGGTGGAACCAAACATGTGATGATGCTGTTCGAAAGTCTAAGGAGGCCCTCAAAGAGTATAGAAAATCGCCTAGTATTCCTAATTTCATTAACTACAAAAAACTTGATGCTCAAAAGAAAAGGATATTAAAAGAAGAAAGTATTAATTCATGGCACAATTTATGTACTAGTTTTAATAGAATGACACCTATTTCTCGAATATGGAACTACATGAAAAGGTTTAGAAGGATAGGTTCTTCTCATAACAGATATTTGGCTGACGATTGGATACCAAGCTTCTTAGACAACATAACAGACTCATCACAGTTAAATGAAGATTATTTGAATGATATTTTAGATCAATCTGTTGAAAATGAAAGTAACTCATTTCTCAATAGACCATTCACACTAAATGAATTGTACATAGCGCTCAAAAGTAGGAAAGATACAACACCAGGGTTGGACAGCATACCATATATGTTAATAAAAAAATTACATCCTAATGCGCAAGAAATGTTATTAAATATTTATAATAAACTTTGGAATAATTTAGCTATACCAGAGTCATGGAAAACCCAATGTGTAATCCCCATTTTAAAGCCAAATAAAGCTGCTAATGATCCATCATCATACAGACCTATTTCTTTATCATCATGTTTAGGTAAGCTTTTTGAAAACATGTTAAAGTTGCGTCTAGATTATTTTGCTGAAACACAGGATAAACTACCTCACATACAATTTGGATTCAGAAAAGGCAGAAGTTGCTCTGAAAGCTTTGTATCTCTGATATCGGAACTTAAAAAGGCCAAACTTAGTCATTCTAATGTTATATGTGTATTTTTAGATGTTAAAGGTGCCTTTGACAATGTTAATATTGAATGCCTCATAAAAGTTTTGCATGAATTGAGCTTGCCAAGAAATGTATTAATCTGGATTTTAAATTTCTTGCATGATAGGACTCTTTTTGTTAAATTTAACAATAAACTACATGGACCTAGGCCTGTTAACAAAGGAACAATGCAGGGAGCGACACTTTCACCTTTGTTATATAATTTATACACATCTCAGATACTTAATTATGTAGATACATCACAAGTAAATATTACAGTTTGCAGACGACTTACTTTTATACAGTGAAAACCAGAATATAAATACAGCAATTAATAGAATTAATACTGCATTGGCACAATTGCATCTTTATTATAGCAACATTTTAAAATTAGAAATAAGTTCTGAGAAAAGTAAAGTTTTAGTATTCAGTAAAGACAAATTTGTAAACTCTGGAATTAAAATTAACTATAATAATGATACAATTCCTATAGCCAATCATCATAAATTTTTAGGAGTTGTGCTAGATGATAAACTGAAATTTGATAAGCATATCAACTATATCTGTCAGAATGCCATGAAGAGCATAAATGTACTAAGAAGCTTAGCAGGAACCTTTTGGGGGTCTGATCCAAAAACACTTAGCATGCTGTATAAAAGTATTGTAAGGAGTCACTTTGACTATAGCTCTCTAGCTTACATGAATATTAGTAGCACATTGTTAAGAAAATTGGATGTGATACAGAATATGGGTCTGAGAATAATCAGTGGAGCCATGCGCACCACTCCTATTGTTTCTATGGAAGTTGAAAATTGCATACCTCCATTGTCCTTGCGGCGTTTACAGTTGGCTGAAAGATTCTGTTTGAAGGAGTTGTCTTGTAACAATGATATTGTCCTGAGTAATATTTTATATCCTGCAGAAGTCTCCCAGTTAAATGGAACAGCCAACATTTCGGCTAATACTCTTATTTCGGGTACATTGCCTGAAATAACAACAATAACAACTTGTGTAAAGAATCAGACAAGAGATATGTACATCAGTAACAAGTGGCCTATTTACAAATGCCCATATGATACATTACTTAATTATCTTGATATAAAATGTCATTTAAATTCGGTTAGTACTAAGAATGAATTCTTAGAATTTTTAAATGAAAAGAAAGACTTTTACACTATATATACTGATGGCTCCAAGAGTGATCTTGTTAAAGCAGCATTTTATGACCCACAAATGAAAGTTATTAAATGTATTAAGTTGCCAAGTAATTGTAGTATTTTTACAGCAGAAAGTTGGGCTATATTAGCTGCTTTGTCGTATGTAAATACCAATGTAAATAGTGTAAATATCTTGATAGTTAGTGATTCTAAAAGTGTTTTATCTGCTTTATGTAACTGTAATTTAGTATATAAACAGAATTATATTTTGTATAAAATTAAGGATAAGCTGCAAACGATTGGAAAATGTATAGAATTCTTATGGGTTCCCTCACACAGTGGCATAGTCGGAAATGAGATAGTGGATCAGGCGACGCGGCAAGATCACCACGAAGACCAAACACAAGATTGTAAAGTCCCCTTCACAGATTATTATCAACACTTTAAAATCTAAAAATAGGGGGATGAGTCGCTCGCGTCCGTAGGCTTCGACCACCTAATCCTAGGCCCACCCTACACGTGTCCCCCGGGTGGTGCTAAACGAGCGACAAAGCCGAAAGAACTGACACGGCTCCTCGCCGTGTGGTAGCGGCGTAAAAAAAAATACCACAACTTACTTTCGCACCATGAGGCAAAATATTAAAGAAATGGCCCCGAGTTCCCGGCGCCCCTTTAATGGGGCAGGGGTGCGAAGAATCTCCGGGAGGAAAACCGGCGACGAGGTTCGCCACCCGTCACGTTCTGTCCCCCGGAGGGGCGAAAAGTGGATTGCGGAAGCCCGTCTGGCTACATTGAACGTATGTGGAGGAATGAATGATAAGATGGATGAAGTATGCGATATGATGTATGATAGAGGAATAGACGTGTTATGTGTGAATGAGACGAAACGGAAGGGAAAGGATGCCACTACACATGGCATGTATACCGCGTACTGGTCTGGTGTAGACGAGACCGAGCGGGCATGCCAGGGAGTCGGTATCATCCTTTCAGAAAGAATGGGTCAGTGTGTAAAAGAGTATGAATGTGTAAGCCCGAGACTGCTATGGATACGAATGAAAGTGGGCTTAAAGAAGTTGTTTGTTTTAGGGGTCTACGCCCCAGACATGTCTAAGCCCACTTATATCCGAGAGCAGTTTTGGGAGTTGGTAAGGATGGTGCTAATGAAATGCAAGGTTAATGAAAATATTGTGATATTAGGCGATTTTAATGGAAGGGTTGGGGTGAGGAGGCTTGGTTATGAAAGGATATTGGGAACGTTTGGTGATGAAAGTATAAATGAGAATGGTGAAAGCCTTCTCGCCGTATGCGTGGAAAAGAATCTTGTTGTGACGAACACTTTGTTTCGTCATAGGAAGATTCACACGTATACATGGGAAAGAGGTGATGATAGAAGTATGATAGATTTCATAATTGTTGATGAAAGAATGAGGAGCGCGGTGGTAGATACAAGGGTTTACCGGGGCTCTAACGTAGGGACGGATCATTACTTGGTCTTATGCCGAATTAATGGTCTTTTCAGACGTTGGAGGCATCGGACATCTGTGTCTACCACAGCGTTACAGCGTATAAAAACAGAGAGGCTACAAGATGAAGGTGTGAAAGAGAAGTTCAAATGTAGATTGAGAGAAAATATAAGTGGTATGGCTGAATTGTGTATGAATGATTTAGACTTGGAGACTGTGTGGTATAATGTCAAGAAAGGTTTAGTGGATGCAGCTACCGAAGTATGTGGTGTAAGCAAGAGAACAAATGAAAGGAAAAATAACACGTTATGGTGGGATGATGAGGTACGGATGGAAGTTGAAGCAAAGAAGAAAGCATGGCTAGATTTACTAGCAACCAAGGCTAGTAATTCTAGCAGTATGAATGATGATATTGAAAGGAAAAAGGCGGTTTTTAGACACCTAAATAAGAGAGTAAAAGAAATAGTTGAAAGGAAAAAGCAAGAAAGAACGGATAAGAATGATAGAAGAATATCGGATAACTTCCAGGAAAACATTAAAATGTTCTGGAAACTCGTAAGAACTACCAGGGGACATTCACAACAGCCTAGAATGAATGCTATACGAGACCAGAATGGCTGTATTCTGAATGACGAAGTTTTGAGTTTAAGGAGATGGAAGGAATACTTTGAAAGCGTGTTTATGAGTGATGAGACGTTTGAATTAAATGAAATAGAAATTCCGAAAGAAGAGGAAATAGATAGAGATATAAGTATAGATGAAATAATGAAAGCAATGAAAAGTATGAAAGTAGGTAAGGCAGCTGGTTATGATAGAGTATCTCTCGAAATGCTAAGGGCTGGAGAAGGAGTGGTGGCAGACCTGCTGTACACCTTGTTTAATTTATGTTGGGAACTTAAGCGGGTACCGGGAGACTGGTGCAAAGCCGTGATAGTCCCAATATATAAGGGAAAAGGATCACAGCAGGACTGTAAAAACTACCGTGGTATCAGCCTTCTTAGCATTGTGGGAAAACTGTATGCTAAGGTACTAATTGAAAGAGTTATGAAAGAAACTGACGGAAAAATTTGGGATGTGCAAGCGGGATTTAGAAAGGGAATGGGATGTACGGATCAGGTCTTTTCCATGCGCATGATCGCCGAGAAGTTTTTGGCCAAAAACCAAAAAGTTTTTTGTGCGTTCATGGACTTGGAGAAGGCTTATGACAGAGTGGACAGGGATGTGTTATGGCAAACACTGAACTCATTTGGGTTGAGCGCTGGTCTGATACAGGCATTGAAGTCTCTATATAGGGACTCTAGTGCTTGTGTCAGGATCAACGGGGCCTACTCGGACTGGTTTGACATCCATAAAGGTGTCAGACAGGGCTGTGTGGCTTCCCCGTGGTTGTTCAACCTGTTTATGGACAGTTGTTTGGAAAATTTGAAAGTAGAAGAATGCGGGTTAAGAATGGGTGAGTTAACCGTCAAATGCCTTTTGTACGCCGATGATCAAGTCATACTTGCGTCGTCGGCAGCCGAGTTGCAAATGATGGTTACATTAATGAACAGGACATTAAAAGAAAAGGGAATGAAAGTGAACGCAAGTAAGACGAAAGTTATGGTTTTTGAAAGAGAAGAAAGTAAAACGATATGTGAAATAAGAATAGAAGGGGAGTTGGTAGAGCAAGTAGATGAGTTTGTATATTTGGGATGTGTGTTTAGCAGGGATGGTAGATATGATAAGGATATAGAACGACGAGTGAATGCAGGAAATAGAGTGAATGGGGCTCTACACTCTATTGTGAAAAGTCAGAATGTGTCCAAAAAGGCACGTATGGCAATTCACAATGCTGTGTTAGTACCTACTTTAATGTATGGTAGTGAAAGTTGGGTGTGGCAGAAGAAGCATGAGAGTAGAATAAATGCTGTAGAAATGCGGTCATTAAGGAGTATGTTAGGGATGAAGCTGAATGACAGAGTGAGAAATTGTTTAATAAGAGAAGAGTGTGGTTTGCAAGATGATGTTGTGACCAGGATTAAGAAAGGAATGCTTCGGTGGTTTGGCCATGTAGAAAGAATGAATGAGGAAAGAGTGACAAAGCAAATTTATGTTGCAGAGGTGAACGGCATAGTCGGGAAGGGTCGCCCTAGGCGAAAGTTTATCGACCAAATTGGCGATATATTAAAAATGGGCCAAATCAAGAGTACCTTTAACCGACGAGCGTGTATGCGTAGGTATATGGATGTGGAGGAAGCGAGAGAGGTGTGTCAGGATCGTGCCAAATGGAAGTCCATAATCTCTGCCTACCCCTCTGGGTGACAGGCGTGAGTGTTTATGTATATGTATGTATATGTACTTTAAAATCTTGTCAAAGAAACTGTGGAAGGATTACTGGAACATTACTACCGTGAATAAGGGAAAATGGTACGCAGAATTACAGCCAGACTTACCAACGATTCCGTGGTACAACCGCTTTAAATACACAGGCCGAAAGTTCATAACGACCATTAACCGCTTGCGGTTTGGCCATTGCCTCGTCCCTGCACATCTGTACAGAATGAAGTCCGTAGCTGATGACAAATGCACACATTGCGCTCAACATAATGCAGACATAAACCACATAATTTTCCAGTGCCCATCGTTTGGAATTCAAAGATTGACACTTGTCAGTGAAATTAGTGATGTCGCTGACGAAAATTCTATAAGTGTTCCCCGCCGCGTTCAGGATCTATTAACTGATGTAGCTTTTTTCATGCCTCTATTTAAATTTATACTTAATACTGTAGGAAAACTTTAATTATTTATGTGTCCTTAATTAATTGATAATGTTTGTAAATAGCTTCTTAGCTTATTTTGTAATTTAGTCTGTTCTATATTTATATAATAGGGAAAAAAGTAGAAAAATGATGGAAAACCATTCTAAATTGTTATTGCTAAAGTTAAATATTCTTAATTTGATGTATGATTTGTGTTATACTGTAATGTTTCCGACTGAAGGTCCTCGCAACCATGGTCACGAATAAATTAAAAAAAAATGTTTTCCTTAAATTAAAAAAGGATGTTTTCTCACAAAGAACGTAATAGATGGCGTTGTACAAATTACAACCTTTTCTGAATTGCGGTGTTAAGATTTTTCGCAGGTGAATCGTATTGAGACTCACTGTAATAATTTATATCCATGAGTGTAATGCAAGCCTGTAAGGGTGTAAGGTATATATACAGAGGTATTGAAATATTTAATTATTCAACAAAACTCGACTAAAAGTAGCAAAATTGCAATAAATGTCGTGATAGATATTGTTTTATACCCAGAATCCCTCTAATACCAAATAACTGTTTTTTCAGTTTTAAGTAAACTAAAGTTGCAGCCTATTTACGTCCCACTGCTGGGCACAGGCCTCCTCTCATTTCTGAGAGGGTTTTAGGGCAAGGAAATGTCCACCGCGCTGCCCCAATACGTGTTGGCGAACTTCACATGTCATCGAAATATTTTTTTTTATTTCTCAAACATGCAGGTTTCCTCACGATGTTTTCCTTCACCGCCGAGCACGTGGTAAATCAGCACTTAAAATTGCAATTAACAATTTCATTGGTGCCGGCGGGGATCGAACCCGGGTTGCTCGAGTACTGTGAAGCTTACAGCGAGCGCTAACCATCTGAGCTACCACGGCTCAGGCTTCAGTTTTAAGATAGGGATAATAACATCGATGTTGGCATCGCTAGCTCAACATCGATGTTCGATGTTTAGGCTACTCAAAACATCGATGTTGACCATTATCGATGGTTTTTGTATATGTGTAGATACTTACACATTGTTTTAAAATTATGTGGGTATACACAGCAAGGGAAAAGTAACAATTAACTTGAATATCAATTTATGTAGAATAGTTATTATGCGACAACCGACAACGACACTAAAAAATAAAGCGAAAGCAGTGACCATTATGACATTACAGGTGCCACTTGACAATTAAGTTTGACACACAATACTGACATTTTTTAGGTTGACGATGCGTTCAGGAATTCTGAACTATTCAAAATTTTTAATCTTCAGAGCAGATGCAAGATTAGTTGATATTGATTTTGCGGGTTCCGATTGTTTGCAAGTTCCCAATTATCGATTATGGGTTCATTGACGTTGATGTTTCGATGTTTGACATGTGTCAACATCGATGTTAAAACATCGAAGTTTTAATTTTTAACATCGATGATCATCGAATATCCCTATTTTAAGCGTGTTTCCCACTCAGCGTGTGTTATGCGACGATCGTAAATAAAGCGCAAGGTCAAACTTTACGCGTCAGTACTGATTGTTTTGCACATGGCCAGCTCTATATTGCTTTTTCTCGCGTTAGTAGTCCCCGTAACCTTTTTCTGTACGCCCCGGCTAAGTCTACTTCTATCGTCGTTTACACAGAAGCTCTATCATAAACGACTTAGAACTTTGAGAATATCGATTTATTTAGTTACCACTTATTCATAGAGTAATGATATATAAATCGGTTAATATTCTCTTACCCTAAACGTCAAATTCTTTAAGTAAAACCTATATTCGCGAGCTACGCCGCGGGCACAGCTAGTATATAATAATTTCAATTCGAAGCAAAAACGCTTGTTTTGTTCCTTTTATGAAATCTTTACTCTTCATTGGGGCCCCCCAACAAATTTTGATACAGGGCCCATCTAAGGCACGCTACGCCACTGACAGGGGCGTAGCTACCGCCGTATCAGCCGTATCAATGATACGGGGCCCCCGGGCTACAGGGGCCCCGAACGTGTGTAAGCAAACATTTCAAGAACTTCTATGGGACAGGAAAGGCTATCACTATTGTCTATAGAAGTAAAGAATTTAGTAAAACTGAAATCGTCTTCAGCTATGAATGCAGTCGAATCGTCTTCAGTTATGTTCGTCGAACAAAAGCCACGAAAAGTGTATATTTGATTTGAATTGTTTGGCTAGCTTAGTTCCTAGGAGTATTAATTGTAAGTAATAACTCAAAAACCCGTGTAGTGGTGGGTAAGAATACTCACTACCGACAGAGGGAAACTGAGGCAGAGGATGGGCAGCAGTATCTTTCTGATAACAGCAAAACAACAATAAAAAAACTGCGGTTGCCAACCCGCTCGCCAAGCGTGGCAACTATGACAATATACCTCCATGAAAGTAACGAAGAGATGGCCCCCAGTCCCCGGCAGCCCCGCTATTCCTGGCTAAGGTGGCGACCATGGTAACAGAGGGGCAGGGGGTGCTAAGAAACTCCGGTGGAGGTTCTGTTGCCACCTACGACGACTCGACCTGGCAACTTATAACGCACGCACCCTGAGGACTGACGAGAAGATCCTGGAGCTGGAAAAAGAGATAGACAAGTTGCGCTGGAACGTCATAGGATTATCCGAAGTCTGAAGAGAGGGGGAGGACACGGTAATCCTCGAATCCGGCAATTTGTTCTATCACCAGGAGGGCGACCATCTGTCCCAAAGAGGTGTCGGATTTATCGTCCACAAGTCTCCCGTTAACAACGTTGTAAATATTGGGAGTGTGTCGACGAGGGTTGCGTACCTTATACTCAGAATCACCAAACAGTATTCGCTGAAGGTCATACAGGTTTACGCATCAACCTCGGCACACGCCGATGAGGAGGTGGAAGAAATGTATGAGGATATCTCTAGAGCCATGCATTCCTCCAAAACCCAATATACGGGATATAATGGGATATAATATATATCCCATTATATCCCGTATAATGGGATATATATTATATATCCCATTATACGGGATATATAATATATATCCCATTGCAGTATCCGCTTCCTGAAGCTGGAAGCTTCAGGAAGCGGATACTAGGGACAAATATCATGCGAGGGTAGCCGAAAAGCATGACACCATCGATGGCAGAAACGAATGTGTAGAAAGAACATGGCAGAACCTTAGGGATGGAATGGTAAGTGCAGCGGAAGAAGTGTGTGGAACAATAAAAAGAGGCAGTAGTAAAAGAAGAGATGCATGGTGGAATGATGAAGTGAAAGAAGCTGTAAAGAAGAAGAAGAAAGCATGGTTAGACTACTTGGCCTCTAGTAATGATAAGGATATGAGAGAAAAGATGAAAGAAAGATATAAGCTGCAGAAAGTTCACACGAAAGCATTGATTGAGGAAGTGCGTGAAAGGTGTAGAATGGAAGCGGATGAAAGGTTGTCGCACAACTTTAAGGAGAACTCCAAACTCTTCTGGAAAGAGGTTGGAAGGACCCGAAGTGGTGCGACGGCCTTAAGAATGAACAAAGTGCTTTCGAGAACTAATGACGTCCTCTCAGAAAAATCGGACGTCATGCAGCGATGGAGCGAATTTTATAGAGAAATGTATGCGTGTGATGATCTTAGTGAGGGATCCGGGGATGACGCCGTGACTGGCACGCCAGACCCGGACCTCGATGACACTGAGGTCATCAGTATGAAAGAGATTGAACGTGCGATTCGAAGTTTGAAATGTGGTAAGGCTGCGGGACTAGACAGAGTTACTGCTGAAATGGTCAAGTATGGTGGGCCTCGCGTCTGGGACAGCTTTCATCTGCTGTGCAATTTGTGCTGGCGGACGGGGGATGTCCCGGATGATTGGCGATCCGCAGTCATTGTGCCTTTATATAAAGGTAAAGGTTCACATTTTGACTGCGGGTGCTATCGGGCGATCAGCTTGACCAGTTTAGCAAGTAAAGTTTACTCGAAGGTTTTGACACGTAGAATGCAAGAGAAATCGGAAAGATTTCTATGGGAGGCACAATGCGGATTTAGACCTGGAAGAGGATGCACGGATCAAATGTTTTCTCTCCGTATGATCACGGAAAAGCTTCTGGCTGTTAACCAGAAGATTTTCTGTGCTTTTGTGGATCTTGAGAAAGCATTTGATAAGGTTGTAAGGAAGAAAATGTGGGAACTGTTGCCAGGGTATGGTGTGGATGGCCGATTGCTAAGGGCTGTGCAGTCTCTTTACTGTGACTGTAAAGCCTCTGTGCGGGTAGGGCATGACCTGTCACCCATGTTTAGCGTCCAAACGGGCGTAAAACAGGGTTGTGTCATGTCTTCCTGGCTGTTCATACTGTATCTCGACAGCTGTTTACAAAAACTGAAAGATAGCTGTTTGGGTGTGAAATTGGGTGACATAAAAGTAAATTGTCTGCTGTATGCTGATGATGCAGTGCTTATTGCACCATCAGAGGCAGAACTGCAGGCATTAGTCACATGTATGAAAGAGGAATGTGAAATTAAAGGTCTCCGTTTGAATGCTAATAAAACTAAGGTTCTGGTATTTGAAAGGGACGAAGAGAGAACGAAGTGTGAAATATGGGTAAATCAGGAATGTCTAGAACAGGTAAATGAAATTGTATACTTGGGGAGTGCTTTTAGCCGGGATGGAAGATGTGATTTAGATGTGGACAGGCGTATCGCTGCCGGGAACAAAGTCAATGGTGCCCTGACTGCGTTAGTCAAAAGGCAAGGCGTAGCGAAGAGTGCACGCCTTGCAATACATAACGCAGTGCTGGTACCGACTTTGTTATATGGCAGCGAAACCTGGGTATGCCAGAAGAAGCATAAAAGTAAGTTGAATGCAGTGGAGATGCGATCTCTTCGTAAAATGTGCGGCGTTACTATGGCCGACCGAAAGCGAAACGAAGAGATTCGCAATATGGCAGGTTTGAAAGATGACCTTATCACAAAAATTGATAAGGGCGTGCTTCGGTGGTTTGGGCACGTTGAGCGAATGAGTGAAGACCGAATGGTGAAGAAAATATATAGCGCGAAAGTTAATATTAAAAGGTGTCGAGGTAGACCGAGACTAACTTTCGAAGACCATGTGAGCAAATTGCTCGAAGAGGGTAGGGTCAAGAGTACTCGGATACCTAGACGTGCATGTATGAAGAAGATAATGAATCTGAAAGAAGCGAAAGAGATATGTAAGGATCGTGACACTTGGCGATCTGTTCTCTCTGGCTACCCCGTCAGGGATTGTGCGTGAAGATAAGTA